TTACAAGCCGTTATATGCTAGTTTTGTGCTTTTGGAACCACACAGACACACTAAGTGATATAACTAATGAGAAAAAGTAGAAGACGGGGGCAGCAATATTAAATATAGAAATGCTTACTGACCAACCAGAACTGTCACCCACTCAAGGCTCATGCTAACTTCAGAAAAGATGCCAGGGGCCCTACTGATTTAGCTGCAGCATGTGCATTTCCTGATGAGTGCACCCGTCTCCCTGCTTCCTTGTGGCTCAATGCATGTGGTCAGGGCAATTTTCACTGTCATAATACCATGTCCTCAGTTCATTCTCACAGAGAATAAAAGTAAGACAGATAAAGGGCAATGCCACAGGAAACAAACACCTCTCCTACTTCACAACTGTCAGTGGCCAATAGTCGGGTGTAATAAAATAAATAAATCACTCACCTCCCAAAATAAATAACACTTTATTTTAACCAATAGGGAGTATACATCTTTTAGCTATGGAATACATAAATAAAATAAAATTACAACAAACATGTAGCCACTAGTGGTACATAGTGTTAGTAGACAGGCCCAATTTTCTCCAGAAATAAAGTAACAGAATCTGAAATGCCTATTTTGTTTTTTCAACCTTTCATGAATTCATTCTCATTTACCCCCTTTCCCTCTTCACATCTGCGTAACCTCTTCCTGTGTTTGTGCTCTCCCCCTTACTTCACCCCACCATGAAATCAAGGTGGGCAGTGGCAGGTTACCGCTTGATAAAATCAACGGCCTCTCAGTGCCACTAGAGGCACCTGTGGCATGTTAGCCTTCATTAGCATTGTGGTTTGATGTTTGGTGTGCACAGTATAAATAACTCTGATAAAACATACAATTACTAAACTTCTGTTGAACTATTTTCATCACTACATCCTTCACCTAATACAGAGGATCTGTCACTTCACCCTTTGATGCTATGGGAGCACTTCTGCATCTACAGAGAAATGCCATATTAACGCATGCTCACTTGGGCACTAATTATATAGCACCACAACATTCATGTCATGTGTATGGCACTGCAGTGGTTAATTCACGCGCTGTGCCCAACTTGTTCATGTAAATTAAAAACAAAAAGTGAGATTTAAAAAGAAAGAAAGATCATAAATCACAGTTTTAGTTTGGATGTGCAAAATCTAAGTGAAAGTTTCTCTTCAACCCATTAAGTACCAATGACAGTCTATGCCATCATAACAATCCAGTCATTAAACATATAATTGACATATGTGAGATAAGAACCATTCAGTCCATCTAGTCTGCCCAATTTTCTAAATACGTTCATTAGTCCCTGGCCTTATGACTATCCCACGAATGCGTATACTCCCTCACTGTGCTAACCTCTACCACTTCAGCTGAAAGGCTATTCCATGCATCCATTACCCTCTCAGTAAAGTAATACTTCATGATATTTTTAAACCTTTGCCCCTCTAATTTAAGACTATGTCCACTTGCTGTGGTAGTTTTTCTTCTTTTAAATATAGTCTGCTCCTTTACTGTGTTGATTCCCTTAAAGGGACACTATAGACACAAGAACAACTACAGTTTAACGTAGTTGTTCTGGTGAGAATAATAGTTCCCTTCAGGGGTTGTGTTCCTGGGTTTGTTTAGCAGGATGGGGGTTGTGCTCCTGCCTTGGCAGGATGGGGGTTGTGCTCCTGGGTTTGTTTAGCAGGATGGGAGTTGTGCTCCTGCCTTGGCAGGATGGGAGTTGTGCTCCTGGGTTTGTTTAGCAGGATGGGAGTTGTGCTCCTGGGTTTGTTTAGCAGGATGGGAGTTGTGCTCCTGGGTTTGTTTTGCAGGATGGGAGTTGTGCTCCTGGGTTTGTTTTGCAGGATGGGAGTTGTGCTCCTGGGTTTGTTTTGCAGGATGGGAGTTGTGCTCCTGGGTTTGTTTAGCAGGATGGGAGTTGTGCTCCTGGGTTTGTTTAGCAGGATGGGAGTTGTGCTCCTGGCTTTGTTTTGCAGGATGGGAGTTGTGTTCCTGTGTTTGCCATGTCTGCTCTGTGTCTGACACTGTGTCCCCCATACACACTGACAGCCCCCACCGGCCCTGCCTCCCACCCCGTGTCTCTCACCAGGTGTCCGGCTCTGCCTCCTCCAGCGGGACCGGTGCCGGGGATCCGGGAGGGGAAGGCGAGGAGAGCGACGACGTTTCCTCCGGCTCCGCCATGATGCAGTGTTGACGTCCACGTCACTGTGCCGTAAAGCGGCGCCGCTTCCCAGTGTCGGAAACAGAACGGCTGGGATCCGAGGACAGCGTGGGCACGTTCTGAGCGCGCGTGCACGGCGCATCCCGGAGCTGTAACCATGGAAACGCAGGATGTGCTTGGCATCGCCATAGTAACATCTTCTTAATTTCTTAAACCCAACTGCTGTCATCTCTGGGACACACACCTTCCTACTGACCTAGTATCACAGAGCTCCACAGCAATAAAACTCTCAGTAATGTGCAGTGTGTATGAGTGTATCACAGAGCTCCACAGCAATAAAACTCTCAGTAATGTGCAGTGTGTTTGAGTGTATCACAGAGCTCCACAGCAATAAAACTCTCAGTAATGTGCAGTGTGTATGAGTGTATCACAGAGCTCCACAGCAATAAAACTCTCAGTAATGTGCAGTGTGTATGAGTGTATCACAGAGCTCTACAGCAATAAAACTCAGTAATGAGAAAGTGTGTATGAGTGTATCACAGAGCTCCACAGCAATACAATTCTCAGTAATGTGCAGTGTGTATGAGTGTATCACAGAGCTCCACAGCAATAAAACTCAGTAATGAGAAAGTGTGTATGAGTGTATCACAGAGCTCCACAGCAATAAAACTCCCAGTAATATGCAGTGTGTATCACAGAGCTACACAGCAATAAAACTCCCAGTAATATGCAGTGTGTATCACAGAGCTCCATAGCAATAAAACTCTCAGTAATGTGCAGTGTGTATCACAGAGCTCCATAGCAATAAAACTCTCAGTAATGTGCAGTGTGTATGAGTGTATCACAGAGCTCCACAGCAATAACACTCTCAGTAATGTGCAGTGTGTATCACAGAGCTCCACAGCAATAACACTCTCAGTAATGTGCAGTGTGTATCACATTGTTTCACAGCCATAAAACTCTCAGTAATGTGCAGTGTGAATGAGTGTATCACAGAGTTTCACAGCCATAAAACTCTCAGTAATGTGCAGTGTGTTTGAGTGTATCACAGAGCTCCACAGCAATAACACTCTCAGTAATGTGCAGTGTGTATGCGTGTATCACAGAGCTATACAGCAATAACACTCTCAGTAATGTGCAGTGTGTATGCGTGTATCACAGAGCTATACAGCAATAAAACTCTCAGTAATGAGCAGTGTGAGTGTATCACAGAGCTCCACAGCAATAAAACTCTCAGTAATGTGCAGTGTGTTTGAGTGTATCACAGAGCTCCACAGCAATAAAACTCTCAGTAATGTGCAGTGTGTATGAGTGTATCACAGAGCTCCACAGCAATAAAACTCTCAGTAATGTGCAGTGTGTATGAGTGTATCACAGAGCTCCACAGCCATAAACCTCTCAGTAATGTGCAGTGTGTGTGAGTGTATCACAGAGCTCCACAGCAATAAAACTCTCAGTAATGTGCAGTGTGTTTGAGTGTATCACAGAGCTCCACAGCAATAAAACTCTCAGTAATGTGCAGTGTGTATGAGTGTATCACAGAGCTCCACAGCAATAAAACTCTCAGTAATGTGCAGTGTGTATGAGTGTATCACAGAGCTCCACAGCCATAAACCTCTAAGTAATGTGCAGTGTGTTTGAGTGTATCACAGAGCTCCACAGCCATAAAACACTCAGTAATGTGCAGTGTGTATGAGTGTATCACAGAGCTCCACATCCATAAAACTCTCAGTAATGTGCAGTGTGTATGAGTGTATCACAGAGCTCCATAGCCATAAAACTCAGTAATGTGCAGTGTGTATGAGCGTATCACAGAGCTCCACAGCAATAAAACTCAGTAACGTGCAGTGTGTATGAGTGTATCACAGAGCTCCACAGCAATAAAACTCTCAGTAATGTGCAGTGTGTATGAGTGTATCACAGAGCTCCACACAATAAAACTCTCAGTAATGTGCAGTATGTAACCCCTTAGATATATAAATATCAAAATACAGTTAGAATAAAATTACATATATATATATTTATTTTTATTTTTTTGTAATTATTTTTTTTTTTAAATCTAAATTATTTTTATAATTATATATACATATAGTTACATAGTTACATAGCTGAAAAGAGACTTGCATCCATCAAGTTCAGCCTTCCTCACATACAGGTGATACTCGAAAAATTAGAATATCGTGCAAAAGTTCATTTATTTCAGTAATGCAACATAAAAGGGGAAACTAATATATGAGATAGATGCATTACATGCAAAGCAAGATAGTTCAAGCCGTGATTTGTCATAAGTGCGATGATTATCGATTACCTAGTAAAAAAGTCATACTGTCTGTGAGGAAGCTGAAGCTTGGGCGTCATTGGACATTCCAACAAGACAATGATCCCAAGCATACCTGAAAATCCACCAAGGCTTGCTTGCAGAAGAAGCCCTGGAAGATTCTACAGGCGTTGTCACAGTCACTTGACTTGAACCCCATAGAAAATGTCTAGAGGGATTCAGGGGCGTACCTAGAGCATTTGGCACCCGGGGCGGATCCTGTGCTTGGCACCCCCCTCCCCCCCCCTCCCAAAAAAAAAAAACCTGTAAACAGGTTTTATTTCTTTTATTTTTACAATTTGTAAACTTTGCAAAACCGCTGTCAGCCCCTCCTACAAAACCCTTGTCCTGCCCTGCCCCTCCTACAAAACCTCTGTCCTGCCCCTTCTACAAATCCTGTACTGCCCCATCTACAAAACCCCGCAACCCCCTTCCACAAATCCCCTGCTTATCCCCCCTTATAAAGACTCCTGTCCCAATACAAAACCCCCACCCCCTTCTACAAAATCCCTGCAGCCCCACACACACATTTACAGGCAGTCACACACTCAGTTACAGACACAGTCACACACTCAGTTACAGACAGACAGTCACACACTCAGTTACAGACAGACAGTCACACACTCAGTTACAGGCAGACAGTCACACATAGTCACAGGCAGACAGTCACACATACACATTTCCTCCGTGCAGCCAGTTTATCAGCTGTTTGCTTGAGTGAGCTGTACTGGCCGCACGGCACCCTAACTTCCATGGGACACTGTGCGGCCACAGCTCACACAGCCCCCTCCAGCCAGGGCCGGTACAAGGATTTTTGCCGCCCAAGGCAAAAGTAAAGTTTGCCGCCCCCCATGTGACATCACAATGCCCCAGCCATATGATTTGCCATGTTAGCTAACGCCAGTGCTGCAGTGCCGCCGTGTTTACATTAAAAGGCCTGCAGGGACAGGCTATAGACACCAGAACCACTACATTAAGCTGAAGTGGTTCTGGGGACTATAGTGTTTCTTTAATGTGAGGTAAGTTAGAGCTTAGTGCCACGAATAATATACTAGATTGCCTACTTACAGCCAGATGAGGATGATGATGATGGGCTCACAAGCTGCAGTCTGGCTCCACTGGTGCTGGTGCAGAACAGGCTCTCTGGGCTGATTTTGTAGCAACTGTGGTCACAAAATCAATGTTCTGGGAGAGCGGGAAGCAGCTCCATTTTTGGGGGGCCTTTTACACAGCTCAGGTCTGGGTCCCAGGGTCCACATTCATGTTCCACCAATGAGTTTGTTCACAGGGGGTGGAGTGTGTAGGGGATGTCCTGATGTGTGTAAGGAATGCATTGTGTGAATGGCACCCCCCACCCGGCTGGCACCCGGGGCGGACCGCCCCCCCCGCCCCCCCCTTAGTACGCCACTGGGTATAGCATAGACTGGTGACATTCATGTAGTCTTAAATGCGGAAGTGCAGTTTCTGGGTAAGTGGTAGTATACAGTCCCCATCTGGTCTGGTCTTCATCTTCTTGTGATGCCGGGGCTGCACGCTTGGGACTCAGATGTTCCTTCAAAGGCCCTGGTTGCAGAGATGATCAGGCTATGTATTTATATCCAATAATGGTGGCAGCCATTCATACTTACGGCATGTGACCACGTGATTACGCCCCATCAGGCACTCAAGCGTCACACGTTGTGACTTCATTAAAATAAACTTTATTAGTTTAAAACAAAACAAACAGTTGGAGACAATTCTGTGTAGTTCTATCTGCATATTACACATAGTTTAACTATTTACAATGAATATATACACACCTATACTTTGGAATAATCTGAGCAATAAAGTCAATTCTACAATTAGTGAACCAAATGAGAATAGGGGATTATTTGTCTGTTGAAGAATTAAAATGTATCAAGGAATATTTTGAATGGCAGTACTGAAACATTCATATCATCATCAAGCATATGACCCATTTGATGTCAATATTGAATTATACCTGGTTGCTCGTATGCACCAGCTGATCAAGGGGGACCAAAAAGTGGATTACTCAGTTGAAAAAGTCAGAAAAAAATAAAAATAAAAAAGGAAAAAACAATTAAATCAGCTTACCTGTCGTGTAGTCTCCAAAATTGTCCAAAGATACTCCATGCGAGGGACCCCGGTGTCTTCCATGTAGCGGACCTTTGTAGATCAAATTGGTACCACGCAAGAGATTCAGACCAGCTATGGTCTAAAGGAAACACTGTAAGGATCACAAAGTAAACAGGTTAGAATGTCCCCATGTGATTAAGGGTATCAACCAGAACCTCTAAGGTAAACTTATAAAAAGTGTTTAAGATCGTGATAAAGTATCCAAGATGCTAATCCGTTTAGTCTCTCTTTGTAGCAAAAGTCTCTGTCTATCACCACCTCCCCTCCCCACTGAGGCTTTAGCAGCGTGAAACCTCAACTGATTGACCCCATGGCCATGGGACTTAAAATGCCTAGGTACCGGGGCTTCGCATACTCCTCGCTGTAAAGCTGCCCTGATACTCCTTTTGTGTTCCACTATATGCTCTTTCATGGGTCTGATGGTCTCCCCCACATAAACATATCCACATGGACACTTTAAGATATGCACGACAAAGTCCGAACTGCATGTGTAGAAACCATGAACCCGATATTTCTTACCAAATACGGGGTGACCAAAAATGTCTCCCTTGATCACACTTCTACAATGTAAGCAACCTAGGAAGGGAATGGTGCCATTTTTGGGTTTGGAGAAAAACCTAGTTTGTTTTTTACAGCTACCAATATCAGATTTAACTAAAAAGTCCTTAAGATTTGATGCTCTCTGGTATTAGAATAATGGAGGGTTCTGGAATTCAATTGGCAAACATGTATCTCCCTCAAAAATGTGATCTCCCTCAAAAATGTGACAATGCTTCATTATAATTCTGCGTATCTCCCTATTAAGGGGGTGTACAGAGACACAAAGGGAATTCTGTTGATTTTATTTACTTTCTTAATACTATGAAGGGTTTCCTCCTGTGTCAAACTGTGGATTCTTTCTCTCTCTGTTTGGATGATGTATGATGGGTAACTCCATTCCATAAACTTCTTAGACATATAATCTAGTTGGAATCGTAAAATCGTAATTTATCGAAATGATAGGGAGCTGTATAAATTAATTTCTTGGATCAGTTCCGTGAGGGAGTCTCTTGGGTCTGTCAGAGAGAAACGAAGCATATACCGTGACTTGTAAACGGAATTCCCCCTAGAAAATCCTGGGATGTTGGCATTTGCCCTAACTGTTTAAAAAGGCATAATTCTGGGTCTTTGCTTGGTTTTAAGATAAGGGTAATATAAGCTTCCAATGTGCGTGGAGGCATAGGGTGTCCCTAAGTGAAGGCATTGAAGGCGTGGAGGATATCAGGTGTGGGGAGAAATTGCTTGTAATACCTAGTGGTGAGGCAATCTGGTCCAGGGCTTTTATTTAAGGGCTGCAGCTAGTTAGTCTATCGTGATGGGGGCATCTAGTGGGTCGGCCATATCTCTATCTATCATTGTGGTTAAGTGGGTATTCAGATATTTTGTTAGGTGGCTGTCAGGGTTCCACTCTGTACCTTTGTTTGAGGAAATGTTGTAGAATTTAGTGTAGAATTTGTGAAATTCTTTCACAATGTCCTCTGATTTGTGTACTAGCTGGTTAGCTGAGGTCCTAATTTTAGATATAAAGGTCATTTGGTGCCTCTGCTTCAGTGCCCTGGCCAGTTGTCAGCCACATTTGTTGCCTTGCTCGTTTGGATTTATTGTCTAGTAAATCATTACATTTACGTCTGGTTTCTGTAAGCTGGGCCAGAGTATCTGGCACTAGGGATGGTTTATGTCGACGGTCTAGGAGATGTAGTTGCTGTAATGTTTGAATGTCAGCTTGTTTGCATTTTTAGCCTCAGATCTGAATTTAATAAATTCCCCTCTAATGACGCATTTTGTGTGCGTTCCACAATGTGAGGGGATATATGTGGGTAGTGTCATTCTCCTGGAAACACAGATTGAGGGCATCTGTAATGCATATTCTAGCTTCAGAGGAAGAGAGAAGATACTCATTCAGCTTCCAGAAGCGATTGAAAGGTTGTGGCATTTCTGGGGCTAGTGATAGGGTGATCATGGCATGGTCAGTCCATGTGATGGGTGCGATGGAGGTGTGTGTAAGTAAGTGTAGATGCCTATGTGAGAGGAAGAGTAGGTCTATGCATGAGTAGGACTGCATAGCGTGGGAAAATAAAGAATAATCTTTCTCAAGCGGGTGTT